TTCTCGTAGTAGTGATGGATCATTGGATGGATTAAGTAAAAAAGCAAGGAAAAATAAATTAAAAGCACGAGTAGAAGCAAAACGAGACCGTATTTGTGCAGATAGTAGTTCAGATGAAGATTCGCGTAAATCTTGTAATTCATTGACAAGATATCAAAATGAAATTGCTGCACATAGTACACAGAAAAATATTTCTTGTAATAGAAAAAGTCGTGCAGCACGTACTGAACGTTATATAAAACGTTTATCAAGAGATGAAGGTCACAGGTTTCCAGAAAATTTAAACAATATAACAAATAAACGCACCAGTCTTGATTTCATGAATGAAGAACAATCATCTGTTTCTACAGATGCAAATGAATCATTTCAATTTTCAGAACAATCATCATGCTATATCAATTATTCTAACAGTAATACCTTTCCAATAAAAAAATCTGCTGAAAATCTACGACAATCTGGATTGATTGTACCTAATTTACAAACAAAATCGTCTACTGATCTCACAAAATATCCAATGAGCCAATATATAACAGATTTAAACCAAAATAATACTTATGCAAAACCAAATGTTTTATACAGAAATAAAAACAATTTAAATCAAGAAGAAAATAATGTTTTCAATTTATCTATGGCTAATAATACAATTTATGCTGATCCATATGATTATACGAGAAATCGTCAGTTTGCGAGTCGAAGTTCTTCTCCACCTGAACCTCCACCAAGAGATCCACGTTGTCGAATTTTTACTTATGGTTGTAATTCTTTTCCATTGAATGAAAACTTTGGTGCAATGAAATACGATGATACTTTACGTACTAAAATGAACGATATACATGAAGTTACTAAAGATCATGTAAAAAGTTTAAGATCCTATGATTCAAATAATGAAATCAGTTGGTGTGGCTCGATTAAACATTGTCCACGACGTCCATTGTCTCTAACTATAAGCTCAACACCATCTTGTAATTTATCAGAGTGTACAAACAATAGACACAATTCAACTGGCAGACACATAGATGAACCGATGTTTAAAGAAACAGAAGCAATGAAATGTCAAAGGAGAAATGATCGAAATGATCAACTTACTTCAAGCTTTAAAAATTATGATACCAAAATGCGTGAAAATAGATTATCTACTACTTATATTAAAAACATGCATAATAATTCCGTTTCATCTACTATTAATAAGTCTTTGGATAGTTCCTATACGAAATCACCAATAAAACAAATTTCAATCGAAAATTTTTATAATTTACCAAATGATACATTTGTTGATCATTTAAAAACGGAAGAAAATCAATTAATTAGTGAACAAGACACTTTAGAAAAAAAAAGAAGTTCTAAAAATCTTGAAGAAGCGCTTTCTGAACTTGAAGCAATATATAATAGCCTCCGTTTAGGAGATGAAGATCTTCTTGATAGAGCCGAACGACGTAGTATGGAAGAATTTAGTCTTCGTCAAGCAAAAACCAATACTATTTCATATATTTCAGAAGATTCTACAGATAGAACAAAAGATGATATGGCTTACAGAAGAATGCATCCTAAAGAGAGACCTGCATCATTGTCGGAAGTGGTTGGTCAATCTGCACTCTCTAATATCAGTTATCTGATAGCTTCGCCTATTTTATCACGCAAAGATATAACTGATGATTATTTATATTCTGGAAATTGTGTATCGCGTCGAGATGAACCAGATGTGACACGAGACGATGTTGTTTATCGGAGCATTCAACATGCTAATAACACATTAAAGATAGTTGATCCTCAACCTCCATTTGGAATTCCTTTAGGACCGGTAACGGCTGCCACAGAAAGCGACTATTTACACACTACACCAACTAAACTAGACTATCCTCGTTCGTCATACATACCACAGTGCGAGCCTGACATTGTTACCGATGATTTGGCTTATAGAGCTCTCAGAAAGGATGCCAATACATCGAAAAACATTGTTGAAAGTAAAAACAGTATTATTAGAGATCAGGAAATTACTTTTGGTACCAAAAAGAAACGAGCGGTTAGATCTTTATCTGCTAATTTATACGGTTTAATTAATCATGATAGAATTCATCTTCGAAGAGAACCTAGTCTTCAAGAGATCAAAGATGAAATGAGTAACACTATAATAGATATGAAATCTTTACCCATACGATCAGATAGACGCGTTGTAAGCGATGGTGAACTTTCCGATTATGATCGATGGCATTCTAATAGTTTATTGAAAAACTCTAAAACTGATATAAATGGCAATCATCCAGTTACAAATATAAATAGAAAAAAATTACGTGTTTATGTTTCACCATCTACTAAAGTACAGGACTTCGAAAATAAAAATGAGAATGATACAAGAGCACAAAACTCCATAATATCTAATGACATATTACCTAATGCATTAAACAATGAATTCTGGCAGAATTGCATGCAGAGCAAATCTAACGAGCCATATAATCAAGATACAGAAACTGATTTCACAGCGTATAGTCGTTTATGCCAAGATTTAGTTAATTTAATTGAAGGACAAAATGATATGGAAGTGAAATCAACTGAAGAAACACATGTTAGTTCAGAACTTCCTGTAATAGATGTTTCAAATGATAATAATAAGATGGAAGAATCCTCAATTTTACATATTCAATCTTTAGGTAATCATTATTCAGAAAATAATATTGAAAATCATAAAGATAAGGAGAACGTAGAGAAACAAACAGAAATTCTCACTAAATTTGAAAATAAAGATTCTGAGAAGACTGACGATAATACGTTTGATTTTTATCTTCGTGTCGCAGATGAGAATGTTAAACTAATTGCAGAGGCGTTTAGCAGTGTGGCAGATCACTTACGTGATAGTCGTTTAAGCCAAAAGAATTCGCTGACGTCGTACCATTCTGAAATAGAAACCGATAGTACAGCGCCCAATACTAGTACTCGTAGCTCCATTACTTGTAGTCAAGACGATACAAATGACGATTTGTCTAGTTCGTCAAGGATCACTGATATATTAAATGTAGTTCCTAAAGAAGATACAACGATAACTTTAAACGAGGACTGCAACTTGATAGAATCAGAAAAAACAAGAACTAATTCGCATACCGATTCAAAACTTGATTTATCCAAAGCTGTTTATGATTTACAATTAGCAGCAGCGAGTTTATGCAAACATGAAAAGGAAATTGAAGAATTAGAAGCATTATTAAAGAAGGATGCAACCAGTAATATTTCTTGCAATAATAATGTTTCGATTAAAAAAGATATTTCGTCATTAAATATTATTGAAACAAATTCAATGACATTAAACAACGAAAAAGAAAAAGAAAGCGATCAAGAAAAAACTGTAATATCAACTGCTGTTAAATCAGAAATTGATGAACATGACTCAAATTGTGAAGGTGAGAGTACAAAATGCAAGGATACTTATGAATTGTATGACATTCCTCGTTCGACTGAAATGCGTATTTCATATGTTACTAACCTCATAACAATACTATTTACTACATATTCTATGGTTTTGCTGGCTTGTTTTCTTGCACTGCTTTTAGCGACCGTAGCAGCATCATGATTGGACCCTTAACGACAAGTGTCTTAATGCATTTCATAATTAGAAGGTTTGATCCGAAACGTTGTTATCATTTTGAGGCTATTATTATTTGAATCATGTTACTAATGTCGTAGGTCTCCCGGCTCTTGATCATTCATGATGTGAACCATTCTATTCGAGTGCATAACTAACTGATATACTACGTCGTTGAGCGACATGGCAGGACAATTGAATTTTATGTAAGATCGAATTTCTGTGAACTATTTCCGAAGGAATGATTTATTCTTGTTGTTCTTGTTAATATTGTTGGTTTTAATAAAGTTTAAATGTTACGCTGTTGATTTTATTATATATGGCATTTCTCATGTATTTCGTTATGAAAATAAAGATCTGGATTTTAGGTTGTACTATTACATCCGAATTTTGGAAAACATAATAATTATTATGTACATATTTACATTAAACTTTTTTTTAATATTATTTTAGTATTATTTATTTTGTATACAAGAATTTATTTTCAAATTATTTTCAATTCATTTTCAACATTTATCTTATTACGCATTATAAAATATGTATAAAAGTTTAGTTAGTTTTGCAAAAGGTTTTGTATTTTAATATTTGTCAAAACTTTGATATTAACTACAGTAGAGATCAACATGATCGATAAAATCACTCTCTTACCTTAATAGTAATATATTTTACTTTTTTCTTTTACGAAAAACTCATAAGGATTAAATATCATTTTTCTTTTTTCTTATAATTAAAAATGATTAAGAAAATATTGTGTTTTTATTGAAGTTATTAATCTGCATTATCAATATAAAGAATGCGCGATCATCGTAAGATATGTGGCGCATTGAAGTCAAACATTGATCGTATGTAGTACTACAGTAACAAGGTTATAAGGGTTTGCTCAACGTCGAATAGTTATCGATTGTAGACTACTATGACGTCATCGTGGATCACGCCACATCCCCGCCCATTGAAACTCCGTTTGTGATTGGTTCACGTGTAGGCCGGCTATCTATATCGAAAAGCATGACCATCGTAGTTTGTGAGTCAAACCTTGAATTCTCACATGCACATAAATTAATTTATAGTATATTATCTAATATTATTTATGTTTAATACATTATTTATAATGATTATTATATGATGTTAACAAAAATTATGAGATTAAATGCGTAAAATTTTCAAGTATAAATTATTCGTTATATTAAAAATTGGCGGGAGATTTCAAATAAAAATATATTCAAATAATAACAAATTTGAAAATTATATTAGAAATCAAAATAATTTTTGTTTTTATGCTTATAGTTTGTAATGTTCTTCAAAATTATTATCTTCAAATTATTACATGTTTAAGAATTTATGCTATAATTCTTTCATTGATTCTTTCGGTTTGAGCTTGAAACTAGCAAGATGGCTGCTATTGAATCGAGCATGTATAGAGTGGTCGGTGTTCTGCGCTGGCGTTAGTACGTGTGAGAGAAGGGTACGTTCAGTTTTGCCGAAAATATGCAGTATTCGCGAAACCTCAATGTGTGTTAGGTTAAAAATTTGACATGTGCATAAAAAAAAGTGTTTTAAATATAAAAAAAATGATAATATTCGGGTATTATTCGCGCGAATATTGAGCTGTCGCTCGAATGCGCATTACGTATTACCGCCGCAAGTATAGAATCGGTTAACAGTGAATCTTGTATCAAGTTCATAGTACAAAGCACGTGGTGTTAAACCGTTTTTGATTTATTATTATCTTATCAAGTAACAGTGAATTGCTGGGATAATTTTTTAATTGAAAAAGGATTTAAAGAAGCTCTCTTTATAATTGATTATCTTAACAAATGTAAGAAAATAAGATAATTTAAATGCATGCTTGAAACATAAATACTTTTACTATTGAAATTTATATAAAAAAATGATTTCGTTCTCGACGTAACATCTAAAATAGATGATCTTTCGAACAGCTGTCTTATCATTATATATCACATTTACCTTTTTCTTAAGCAATATCAAAAATAGTGTAAATAGTATTTCATTATTACAAAATAAGGACCAAAGTTCAAAGATCTTCAAAAAAATTATAACTCACATATATATATATAACTTTTCATAAATCACGATTCGAATTCAGTTCTTCGTTGATCACGAAGTACATCACGTCGTAGATCAGCTATCTCTTGTGTCCTTTCCTCGTCTCTCTTCTTTTACGTATACACATTTATATACGTGTGTACCTACAGATATTACTTATACATATCTATACACCCACACCATTCTCGACCCTTGGATCGCGTATAGTGATAATTTCCTCTTTTGATCGCGGTGGGAAAACAGACTGTTAGTCGACAGGAATCGTCGAACTCGTTGAGAAGTCACGAGGTTGAAAAGTTAAGATAGTCGTGATAGTATATAAAGAAGGTAAGCAATGAACTTAACTTTTTTCTTAAATAATATTTTAATTCGAGTTTAAAAATAATATAAATGTTTGAAATCCATATGTTATGATTTTATGTTTGATATACTAACTTTATATTAGAAATTGTTTTTCCATCTACTTATATAATGACTTATAAAGCAATTATAATATATATATATACATATATATATATATATATATATACATATATACACATTAACAATGTACAATCAACTCACAATTTTTAGTGATGAAAAATGACTTTGGGTTATTTGTAATTCAAACTTCTTGAATAGTATCGCAGTAAATAGAAATTCAATATTAGATCTAATTAAAATTAAATTAATAACATTCTTCTTCATTTATCCTAAAGTGCGAATATTATCATAGTTATAGCATTCCACAAACAAGTCATCGATCTTTCTGTTAGGTATTAAATTCATGGTCAAATTGTATGCAGTTACCGGTCATGTATTATCGATAAATGAATGGATTATTATATAAGTAATTTCATGCGCGTACATGCTTGAATTATTTTAAAAAATTTTACCGTAAATATATCTTATTTATATTCAATTAATATCTATCTTGTAATTTGTATTAATCATGATTAATTGTAAGAATAAAAAAATAAAATTTTTAAATCTTTATATAACCTTACGTATAATTAGTATTTTTATTTTATATAAAAACATTAATTTAACTTTTTTGTAATTTAATCAAATGATAATTAATTATTGTTCAAACGGCAATTTTATTTTATGATTATTTTATCGATGATATATTTTTTATAAACATAATTTTATAAACTAATCTACTTTTCTACTTTTTATATGAGAAAAGTAACTATCGCGATCTTCACATCGTACATCTGGCATCCAATATCATCTGATACTCGTTGTACTTCAGGACAATAGTGTAATGCAACACATCGTTAGTAATATATAGATGAAAACAAGTACTGTAATATGGTTTACATATTGACTGATTCAACAAATTAGAAATAAAATGGTAATATTATTGTTAAAATATTTTAACAATAAAAATCATATTTACTTAGAATGGAATTTTAATAATATATCTTTATTATTAGGAAAGACCATTATTAAGAAAATTATTATTAAGAAAATTATAATAATAATCGAATAAAATTTCATTCTAATCGTGATTAAATTATTTTCTAATAATTTAATTTTTAAATTTTCATCCTTTTTTACTTTGAAATTATATTTAAGAATTTTAGTAAAAAAAGAAATCGTTTATTAATTAATTATAAATAATTAATAATATATAATTAATAATATATAATTAATAATTATATTAATTAATACATCATATTAATTTTACATATATCATTTAATTTCTTGCTATTTCAATTTTTTTTCAATTAATAGTACTTACTTGAAGTCGTTTCTTTTCATCATATAATTCATTTAAAAAATTGTATTTTTTCAATTAAAAATATCGTATATTCTTAATTTTAATCTTTTGATCTAATATAATTAAAATTTATATTTTCTTATTATTAAATAATTAGTTATTTATCATAAAAAATATTTAAAAAAATTATCTAATTTGTATTATTTATCACATAACGATTATATAAAATATCTAAAATCCATTATGTATTAATTATTTATATTTGGTTATTATCGTAATGATAACATTATCTTGGCGTATAAAACAGGTAACATTTTTACAACTACTTGCAATTATACTTATCAATCATTCTCGTTGATTATTTTATACTGGTCAATACACGTTACACAACACATTTAGGAACGTAACTATATTTATGATCTCGAAAGCGATCAATCAATATTTAAATATCGTTTCAATATGATTTAATATTTTTATTAGTAAACCATAGTAAACATAACACGTGATCTATAGCGCATATAATGTAAATGTATATTCCATATTCACCTTGATATAACTTAAGCGTAACACGAGTTGTAGCAGGGAGCAACGTTCAATGTCGTAAAACTTATTATCTTGGAGTTTGCAGAATCATGCACTTTGCAGACTGTTTATATGTTCCAATATTTTTTTACATGCATCCTATTTTTGCGATGAATTTGATTCTCAAAGATTAAGTGAATAATTACCAGGTGTATTTTTATTGATAATTATATATTAGATAAATTTTTCATATAGCCTTAATTTATAATTCTTATAATGATAGATTGTTAGTTGATGATAAATTATCTTTATCAAATTAAATAATAATCTTTTTATTTTTGTCTTTTTTATTAATTAATTATATTTAATAATTATTTTTGTTAGTTAATTACTTTTTGTTATAATAAATATGAAGAATATTATTATGAATAATATTCACTTTTTCAAAATTTCACTTCTTAAAAATATTGATTCATTAAATATTCCTATCTATTTAATTGATATGTTTTTCTTTCTATAGAATTGAATTTAGATATATATATTGAGTTGAATCAATTTTGATAATTCTTCTTGTTTGATAAATTTGATTGTATATTTTTGAAATGTTTTGTTATAAAGATAAATTGTATAAATGTACTATAAATTATTTTGTAATTATTTTGTATTCAAAAATAAACAATATATTAATTATTTTATTTTATCTTAATATTCAATGGATATATTTAATTTGTTTTAGATATTGTTAAAATCATGAATAATAATTAAAAGATAATCGTAGAAATAAGAAATTATTAAAATGATTTTTATTTCTGATATAAAATAAAGTACAAAAAAGAAATTTGTCAATTCAGGAATAAAAAACGCATACATTGGTATAAATAAAAATGATAAATTATTAAAAATATGTTTTCAGTAGTTTTTGAAAGTTTGATTTGATTATATTTCATTCTTTGTTAACACTATGAATTTGAAAGAAAATAATTTTTATGAAGAAAATTTATATTATATATTATATAATTATATAATACTATATAACTAAAATTTATATTATAAATTTATATTAAATTTATATATCTTCATTTATTTTTGCGTTACAAAAAGTAAAATACAAAAATAAAAAATCTTTATTTATGATAATATATTATATAATAATTATATTATAATGATTATGATTTAATTTTTCTATCTTTATCTTTCCTGTTGTTAAAAAATCTTATTTGTTTTATTTTTATTATTAATTTAAACATTAAAACAAAGAATCAAATTGATAAATTTTCCAATTAATTTATTCAATATATTCAATATTTATTATTCAATATTCATTTATTTATAAATTCAACAACGTACTTAATCTTTAATAATCTGATTATTAATGATATCAAATTATTTTAAATTGTAAGTGATTTTGATCACTAATTTGTTAATTATTTAATTGCTAAAACAATACTAAACTAAAATTAAAAAAATATATATTAAACTAAAATTTATCTGCATTCAATGAAGCATATAATTAATATTTAAAAAATCATTTGTTTTTCAGCAAATTTAAATTACGAAATCACGAAACTCATAAATTTATATAAATAAATTGTTATTTATATAATAATTTTCTCTTAATTATATTATCGCAAACTAATAAATTGTATATAATATTGGAACATTTTCTATATACAGTCTGCAACTGCTATTCTTTTTCGTTTTTTTCCATGCTATTTCTCCTTTCGATCATACAATCAAACTTCAAATTAAAAAAATTATCTTTAGTATTATCGTTTAGGAAACAGAATTATAATGCAATATTCAACACTCTAATGATCTAGGCGATAGCCTTGATATAAACAGTTCCTGTCGAGTGAAATAAAGAAATGAGACACCATGCAATCGTAGTATTTAGAAAAAAAAAAAATCTATGAAATTATATTAATTTTCATATCATTATATACCATTGTATTTTAGTAGTTTTATTCATTCTTCTTTTTATTCTTATGTATAATAATTGAAACATCTTTTTCAATGGTTTAAATTCAAATTAGAAATGAATCAAATTTCCATATTCTATATGTATTATTTTTTGATCATTTTATTTTCTTGCGCATATATATATATCAATCAATAATATACAATTAAAAATTTATCGACTTATTTTTTCTGGAATTATCTTTTTCATTTCGATTTTAATCAGAATTCAATTTTCGATTATTATCAGTAATATAATAATATCATTTCATAAATATGATGATTAAGATAATTTTGTTTCGAGATACGTATTGTGATAATATGTTCAAATTATTGAAACGAGAAGTTGTAAAATCATTGTTCAATCGTCATTTCCTGTTTCGTTAATTCTCATGGTATTCGATAGAAATCCATTTCTTGCTCGTTTACATAATTTGACCTAATATCAGAGGATGCCAGCCATTAGTGCTTCGACGATCGAGCAGATTTGTGGCTCGTAAGCGACCAAGGGACACATGAACGCTTCCCAGACAGGAAGCTAACCAATAGGAACGTTCCAATTTGTATGCACACGTGCACGATTCGTGAGCATTATGTTTTATCTTTTGCGAATTCTTAGAAAATAGATAAATATTTACAATTTAAACACCTAGATATATGCTTATTTTTTACATGAAACAGTTTAATATAATATTACAATTGAAATTGATTATTAATCTTTTAATAATCTTAATTATTCGATTAGTTAAGCAATAATATTAATTTTCAAAAATAATATTAGTAATAAAAATTTACTAATATTATATTATTAATATTTATTATATAATATTTATTAATATTAATTAATAATATATTTATTATATAATATTTATTAATATTAATAATGATAATGATTTATTAATATTAATAATAATAATACCATGAAATACAGAAATATTTATAGAGAATTTAAAATTATTCAAATTAATCTTCGGATTTTAAAGAGATTTAAAAATACTTAAAATTTACATTATGATTCATTTAGCATCTAGAATGTCGTTTAATATACATTTTTAGTTCTATTTTTATTTTAAAAATAAATATTTTATTACGTTTCTAATAACGTTATTTCTAAGCTTTGAAATAAAAGAGTTTGTCAGAAAAGAAATTGCAGTATTGAAATTTATGCGAATTTTGAAATAATCATGCATATTTTTATCTTAATTTTTGTTACAATTAAATTCCTAGATGTAATTAATTATTTTATTGAAAAATTTCCAAAATGAGATGATTTCTAAAAAATAATTAATTGAAAATTTGTATCTATATTACTTGAATATTTATAATTATGTATGAGATTAATTAATGAAACTATTATTATTAAATAAATCGTTTCGTTATATTTGTTTATAATAATTTTCATATTATTTAATTAAATTAAAATTATGTTTATTGTTTAATAGGAAAATTTTTTTTAAAAATTTGTTAGTGTTGTAGAATGAGATAATTATACATATATATCATATAGTATATAGAAATATATAGAAATCGAGTTTTCCTAATAACATAAAATTTTCTATAAAATATACAATTTTTTATAAATAATATACAATCTAATATCAATTACTTTTGATATTAATGACCAATTGTGTATGTTATTGACTCCAGCTTTTGTTAAGATTGTATATTTTAGCCAATGATTGTGATACTAAATCTATTAATTTTCTTTCAAAAATATTTTAAAACTAGTTTTGTGTAATTTATTTTTTGAAATCATTTTATTTTTGTAATATTAATATACTATATCCTATAATCCATAGGATATAACATATTTATATTACTGAAATAATATTTATAATATTTATAATAATGTTTCTGAATATATTTAATTTTTTTCAAGAAAAACGATTAAAATACATGTATATAATATTGTATTTGTATGTATAGAAGAGAAAATAGATAATTATAATCATAGATCATAGATCATATTCTACAAAAGGTATTTAAGATATTTTATTACTTAAATTTATTTACATGCATAGTAGTTGAATATTTTTTTGAAATAATTTTATAATAAATATAATAAAATATATTTTTTAATATATGCGAATAAATTTTTGTAGTATATAATGATAAGAAAAATAATGAAAAAATTAATATTTCTGTAATGCAAACATTGTATTATCTAAGAAATTTATTGAATGTTAAAAAATTTTGGAAAATCTCATCATTGGAGAAATTGAATATTTAAATAACTCATGATACTATAGTATTGTTCAAGGTCGGTTGTGAGTTGCTTAAGTATGCATGTATATATGATATATATAGACGATAGTGACAATGTATATATAGCATGGTAGCTTGATCGCTCTGTAACCCTCTTGTCTATTTTCAAAGAGTTTCGCAATATCAAGGTTTTTTTTAATTTATTTGCCATTTATTTCTTAGTATGAATATTATTTTAATTATATAAATCTATATATTTGTTATATGTTCAATAAATAAGTTATATAAAAATTAAATTTACTTGGAAAAAAAAAATTCTAAAAAATGTAAAAGATATTTTAAAAAATAGAAAAGAATAGAAATATTTAAAAATGAGATTATTATTCACAAAGAACACAAATATTTATAAATACGAATATTTAGTATATCTTTCATTTAATTTTTTTCAATTGGATGAAATTAAATCATTTTTGAATTGTTTATAAAGAAATAAATGTATTCATACTTGAATATTATATAAGATTGAAAAACATAAATATAATGATCATTCAGAATCAATTGAAAATTCTTAATCATATACATCTATTTATTATGTATGAAATATAATGTTTTTTAATGCTAAGAATTAGATGAAGAAAATTTAAATGATATTCTATTGCTAATTATTATTAATTGTTGCTGTCATTTGTGTTGAATATTATATTCATTTATTATAATAAAAATCGTATAACAATTTTTATATATATTATATTTATATATATAATTTTGTATATATATTTATATACAGTATAGTAGTGTATATATATATATATTAATATTAACATAAATTAATTTCTATAAAATCAATAGAATATCAAATAAATATCAACTTTGGTTATAAGAACTTGGCAGAAATCGAAATACATCATAAAACAAAACTTTACTTACAGATTCAAATATGCAAAATAATGAGAAAGTATTATTCAAATTTTAAAAAAATTTACATATAAAATTTGTTATTCTAACTTTTAAAATAGATATAAGAAATAAAAATAGATATAAAAATATATGATATATAATAGATATAAAAATATATGATATATAAAATATATCAAGATGATTGACAAGATTGATAATTCAAATATAAATATTTATTCTATAACAATTTTATACAAAAATCTTATTTGTTATAAAAATGTATTTAGTAAATTATTTCTTGCAAGAAAAAATACTATATTTAAATATGGGTTAAAATAATATTTTTTGTAGTTTTTTTTTAGATAAATTAGATTGAATTAAAATATTATTTAATATTATTAAAATATTATTTAAATTTTACATAATTTTATGAACATATTAGCCATGTAGTAAACTTTTATCATTATTACATATCAAAATTTTTTTTGACATGTAAATAAGTTTTTTGAAGAACTTTCTATTCATTTCATCTCTATTTCTATCTATTTATCTATCTCTACTATCTTAATATTTAAAATATTAAATAAAAATTGATCAAATAAGTCATCAACTTAAATAGGATACATATATGTTATATATGTATTATATATGTATACATATATGTTACCTATATCAGAAATAGTCTAATATTGGTGTTCATGTCGAGAACGATTTCAATGGTCGACTATAAAGAACGGAAAGCCGTACCTATTTTACGATATGTACCATTAATCACATCGATTGCTAATAATTTTTCTTACAGTGTTATTAATCCACATCATATCGACTTCTATTAAAATATTGGAGGTACAGTATCTTGGGAATAAAAGTGACCTGATAACGATTCATCATGATCGTGGACGAGAAATCGTGAGTCGTAGTAGCTAGATGAAAAGAAAAAAAATCATAACTTTTTTCTACGCTTTTCTTTGCTATGAATATCTTTCACTAAGCTTGTACATTTGTGCTTGTAGATTTATAATTTATTTATTTTTTATATATAAAAATCTTTCGCTCTTTCAATATCAATATTTATATATATATTTTATTACAAATTAAGATTTTTTCAAATAAAACTATAATACATATAAATTAAGACAAGATTTTTAGTATGAATATACATATGTATATATTGATGTATCATAATTAAATATTATTTGCTTATTATATTTACTAGCACGTATTTATATTTTATAATTTTTAAATAAATGAATATATTTGCAAGTAATATAAATATGTTTATTAACACGTAAATTTAAAAATAGTCATTGAATTGAAATAAAAATATTTTTAGTATATGTAAATTTTTTATAAGAATGCAAATTAAGATATTTTTATAGAATTTTATAATATTGTGTGATGCAAAATGCATCTTGACGCATTACCATTCTTCAATGGTAAATTCAAAATTCGAAGAATAGCAAATTTTTGTATTATAATGTTAATGAATTAGCATAGTTTTTAAAATTATATAACATTTTATTACATGTATTTATTCAAATGTAAATACAATTAAAATTTGCATTGCAAAATGTATTGAAGAGTAAATTTTCTTTAAATGATTTTTATAAGTTGAATTAAGTACTATGATATCTTTAAATTAAATGAAATATTTTAATACAATAGTAATAAATAATCTTGATTTTTCTATATCGATATTTATAAATTTTAAATTAATTTAAAAAAAAATACTTATCTAATTTTTCGTATATTAATTTATGATATTATGATTAAATTTTAATGTTAATTTTAATTATTCAATTTATTCGAAAAAAAGAAAATAATCAATACTAAATATATACTATTAAGATATTTATTATTTATTTATTTATGCTCGGTTTTAAATTTAAAAATTAAAAAAAATTAAAAAAATTAAATTATTTAATTTAAAAATAATTTTTGTTTCAAAACATTTATATCTATATCTATATATTCGAACATTTGTGTCGATCAGTTTTTCCTTAGTATTATTTTCTGACATTTCAAAACAATAAAATTTTATGTTATATAAAATTGATGCATTTAATAAAAAAAAGTAAAAAATTATATATTCTAACAGTTAATTGCCAATAAATGATCCGCGTAATTTATCTTTGATAACCGTTTTGTATCGTGCGAACTTTGATGTGGTATATATTTCATGCTTTCACAATAATTTTTATAATTGAATAAAGATGTATACAGAGAAAACTGCTTGGAATTTCAGATAACGAAAAGATCATGTACATGGTGCAGTAGTAACCACATCTGACATAACGGCGTTCAAAGTCCTCGGAAATATCTGAATCACATACACTTGTCGTTAGTTATGCCACGCTTTCAATTGTGTTTGTTCCGTATGTTGGTATATTACGTACTATATAGGGTGTCGCGTGGCGCCATTCTATTATTTCGAATCGGTAAAGTCATTATGAACTACGATTTGACTTTACAAACTTTAATTTTTTTGCGGTATTATTATTTGAATGTGTGTTTTATTACAATTATAAATTATAATGTCTATAAATATTTTATTTTCTTTTTTAAATAAACAATATAATTTTTTTATTTAGGAAATTAATATATTGTTTTGTATTATTTATTTATTATAATAATAGCATTTCATATATGTTAACAAAAATTTTAATATTTAAACTGAATTATTTAAACGGAGTAAACGATTCTTTACGTATAATAAAACGTACGGATATAACCGCGAGACAGCATGGTATAAAAATGATAAGAATGTGAAATGTGATATTTAGTATTATTAGAGTATTTTATTTTCTTAATATATGGAAGTAAAAGTTATAATACGATTTATAAATTCATAAAAATAGTAATCTAATATGTCATTAAATTAAAAAAATGCTATGTTCGAATGTATTATAGATATTCAGATCTTCTTAATTTAGTTTCATTTTAATTCAATTTTCCTTATTATTTATTTATATGAAATAAAATCAAATAAGAAATTATGAATTATTCTATTATAAGATTTAATTATAACAGACATAGATACTTACATATATTTAATAAATTTTATATATTTTACATTGTTGTATTGAGACTACATTTGTCTAAATTTTTTGAAATAAATCAAAGATATAATGCTATTTTTAGCGAAGAAACATAGAATTTTGTTGAGTTGGATGCTAGCACTTGAGTGATAAATATTTTTAATGTATTTTTGATTTATTTATAATTAATTTTCGCATTTTGATGGCAATAATCTTATCATTAATCTCTCTTTGCAAAGTAAGACTGGTAATAGTTGCAAGAACTATTAGAATGTTCCAGAAACTTATAATGATTATTTTCATTAGAAGAGATTTCTATCTCTCTTCTATATAATGTATTATGGAATAAAGAATGCAATGGAAGAGAGGATAAAAGATCTTTAAAAACTGCTTAATTGTTCATGCCGAATCTCTCAAATTCTCAGATTACAAAATAAATATCAGAGAATAAATAAATCACATCATTCTAAATCATACGCGATTTAATCAACAAATATATTCTCCTCCGTGATTATTTGATTACAGATCTAAGCGCCAACGCAAAAAACGAATTTTTATTTTGCGAATATCGTGCGCCGCAGCATTATTTAATTTATACTTATTATTATAGAAATCTGTAATTTTCATAGAATCAAATAAATTCTATAAAAATTAAAACAATTTGTTCTTATATAATAATTCTTATATAATAATATAAATAATTTTTTATTTTTTATTTGTTTCTACTTCTATTTGTTCATTCGATTAGTTTTTACTGTTCATTCAATTTCCGAGAATAAATCGATATCGTTTCGCGCAATCAAATTTAATTGCTATGAAATCATATAATCGTGTGATATGCACTATTTTTGCATGATATCTCTGTTCTTATTTACAAGGTCAATTTAAAGAGTGAGCTTGATAAAGAAAAATAAACTAACAACTTTATGCATCGTATGATTATTATTAAAATCAATTAAGGATGGCGATATCGATAGATCTCAGTTTAAGAGGGAATATTACTAGGATATTGCTTACTGCACCGACGGTCGATGTAAATAATCCTCAATTGATAGAGCAGGATATTCATTATGTAATTAAATAGAAGATTAATTATGTTGAATTAGAAAAGATTATCAGAAAATATGATAAAATTTATTTTTTTCTTATGAAATTACATTTATAAATATCAAGTATAATATTGTATAAAAAAAAGCAATATTTTATAAATAAGATTTACAACTTTATCAATTGAAGGTTTAACAGTTTATCATAATATACTATATTAATAGTCTTTAATCTTGTGCTTATCTCAAACTAATGTTTATGATTTTTTTTCCCTATTTTTTCCCTTTTTTTTCTTTTATCTTTCTTTAATGTTTTAAAAATATTGCATTTAGATAATATGAAGTAGTAGCATTTAGATAAGTTGAATAGAATATGAATCTTGATGCATGAATATGAGTTTATTATGTATTTTTGCTTCATCATGGAATTGATTTAGATATATATTTTCTTTTTATAACATTTTTATAACATATTTTATAAAAATTTTATTTTGCTATTATATATTTTTTTAATATTGAAATAAAATAGTAAATATTAATGTGTTTTATTTTAAAAAATTTATTAGAAATACAATTTTTTAATTATATAATATATTTATTGGATATAAAATTGTAAAATATTAAACAATTATAATAAAATTATTTTTTAATAGTAATGTATAATAATTCTGATATTAACAAACAATGAATACGAATATAAATTTTATATTTTAATAATGCTAATGATTTTATTTTATAATGTATATAATGTGTGCTAGTATTCAATTAAATTTTATTTCACAATTTTTTAAATATTAATTTTCAAAAATATATTTATATGAAATTATCTGAATTTTCAAATTTTGATACATAAAAAAATTACTCGTATTGCTAGCATTAACTAAAATATTTATATACATATATTTTCTAAATCATATTATTTTATAAATCACAATATCATAAAATTATTATTAACATTTGTCTATATATCCTATGTAGCAAAAAAAGAAAAAAACAAGCTTATCTAGCTTAATCTTTCAAAATTTATAGAATAAAATTCTTTTATCTTTAGTTGCAAATAATAATGAAACCTTTTTCTTTTAGAAACTTTGCTTATATTCAATCAGCAAGAAGCTTTTAAAAATATAAAAGATAAAATTTTTCAAACTTTATGTTTTGTTCTTAGTGAAATGGAAAGCTTTTGGATTATCAGCGCGGTCAACGCGCTCAAGGCGCTTTCCTATGTGTACGACCTGTTAACGTTTCCAATGTACCTCATACTCCAGCGACCATGGAAAAGGAGAAAGGCTTCCCGAAGGATTAAAGCTCGACCTATTGCGAAAGATGATAAAAGTATTACTTATAGAAGTGTTGATGAACCACAAGAAATACACATCATGCTTGAACGAGAAAATATCGATACACTTGACAAAATAATGCATTGGATTACTAAGGAGCATAAAGGAAAAAAATGTGTTGGTACAAGGCAGATACTTGCTGAGGAGGACGAGATTCAACCTAATGGTAGAATATTTAAAAAGGTATAATAAAAAATAATTATATTCTTTCTTAGAGTGCAATATATATGATTTGATTAAAGACAAGAATTGCATTACAGATATATTTATTTTCGGAAGGGTTATTTTCTTTGAGAATTAAAGAAATTAGAAAGAGATGTGTTTTTTAAAATGTTTTTCATGTACTCGTGTAAAATGGATACACACAATGATACTCGTTGCAAATTTAAACATGGATGGGTGGGATTTTATATATGTATCGGATACTCTATTTTTTGGATTCTTTGAAGTTTCATTCAGTGTTTCATGAAAACAACGATAAATACCAGAAAAACTAAATAAAACATAATATATTTAATTTTAATGGCATATGACTTTATATTAGTGTTATAAGTTTAATAAAATTATTAATAATATTATTTGCTAAAATTATAATATTAAATATTCTTTTCTTAATCAAATTCGTATCATATTTTTAAACTTTCTAATTTATCATTTATAATTTAATTTAATAATAAATTAATTAAATTATTTTATAGTATAAAATGGGAGAATATAAATGGAAAACTTATTTGGAAGTTGAAATGCTTATGACTGCCTTTGGTCGAGGTTTAAAAGAATATGGTCTTACGACGTGTAAGAATATCGTCATCTTTGCTGAGACTAGAGAGGAATGGATGATTGCAGCTTATGGTTGCTTTAAGCAGAATTTGGTTGTAGTAACTTTATATGCGACTCTAGGTGAAGAGGCTATTGCTCACGGAATTAATGAAACGGAAGTCGATATCGTGATAACCAGTCATGACTTGTTGCCGAAGTTTAAATTGCTCCTTAAAATATTACCTAAAGTTAAAACGATTATTTACATGGAAGATCAACTGAAACCTACTGATACAAAGGGTTATAAGGTATATATTTTGATATATATATTAACAAAAAATATAAAATAATTTATAAAAATAATATAAAAATATCATTGAATATTTAATTATAAAAAAAATTATATAAAAATTTTTATTATTATTTATACTTTTCTCATACATTTTAGGATGGTGTTAAACTTATACCATTCTCTGATGTGATAAAAAAAGGTAACATTTCCACTGCACCATTGTTATCACCACAAAGTGAGGATACTGCAATTATTATGTATACATCTGGATCAACCGGAATACCAAAAGGTGTACTTCTATCACACAAAAACGTGATTTCTGTAATGAAAACGTTTTGTGATATCGTGGAAATTAAACCAGACGATGTATTCCTTGCATTTTTACCTTTGGCCCATGTTTTCGAACTTCTTGCTGAGAGTGTATGCTTATTATCTGGAGTACCTATCGGCTATAGTTCGCCTCTTACTATGATCGATTCAAGTAGCAAAATTCAAAAAGGATCCAAAGGAGATGCATCGGTTCTTCGCCCAACTTGTGTAACTTCTGTACCTGTAAGTTTTGAAAATTAAATTATGTTACAATAACAAATAAGTTGTAATAATTTTATTTTTATTTTACAGCTTATTCTGGATCGTATTTCTAAAGGTATCAATGAAAAAGTCATGAAATCGGGATTTTTAAGTCGAGCAATTTTCAAATTTGCCTATAACTATAAATTGAAATGGTATAAACGTGGTTATGACACTCCTTTTTTGGATAAATATGTTTTTGGAGCTGCAAGACAAGTTCTTGGTGGAAAGATTCGGCTTATTCTTTGTGGTGGTGCTCCTTTGACTCCAGATACTCAGACTCAAATTAAAATTTGTCTTTGTGTTACTTTGACTCAAGGATATGGCCTTACTGAAAGTACTTCTTGTGCTACAGTTATGGATAGTATGTTATTTCTATTATATATTGTTTTTTATTAAATAATTTTTTATTTTTATAAAACATTTTTTTAAAAATAATTTTTACTTTTAATTTATAGAAGATGATACAAGTATCGGAAGAGTAGGAGGACCAACTACAATTTGTGATATTCGTTTAGTAAATTGGGAAGATGCTGGTTATAGAGTTACAGATGTTCCATATCCTAGAGGAGAAATTATAATTGGGGGTGAAAATATTTCAGCTGGTTACTATAAGTTAGCAGATAAAACAAAAGAAGATTTTTTTCAAGAAGATGGGAAACGATGGTTCAGAACTGGTGATATTGGAGAAATTCATGAAGATGGTTGTATAAAAATTATAGGTATATTTTAATTTTAATGTTATGTTCATTTAAAAAAAAAATTTTTTTCAATATATTTTTATCAAGTTAATAATTTTTACAGATCGAAAAAAAGATTTGGTTAAATTACAATTTGGTGAATATGTTTCTTTGGGCAAAATCGAAGCAGAATTAAAAACATGTCCTATCGTAGAAAACATTTGTGTTTATGGAGACTCATATAAAACTTTCACAGTAGCATTAATAGTGCCCAATGTATTTTATCTAGAACAAATTGCTAGGAATTTAGGAATTACTGGAAAAAGTTTTGAGGAACTTTGCAATGATCCACAAATTGAAAAAGCAGTGTTACAGGAATTGATTGAACAAGCTAAAAAATGTAAGTATTTAAAACAAAATTTTTTAAAATTAATTAATTTTTAAAATATTTCAATAAATTTTAAACAATTTTTATTTTTGATTTAGGTAAGCTCCAAAGATACGAAATACCAGCTGCTATAAAACTCTGTTCAGAACAATGGTCACCTGACATGGGATTGGTAACCGCTGCATTTAAGCTTAAAAGAAAAGCAGTTCAAGAGCGTTATCAACACGAAATCAACAGAATGTATGCTTCGTGATAAAAAGAGATATAAAATGTGTAAAGAAAAAAAATAGGTGAAGTGATGTCGAGCTTTTCGATTTAGCAAAACTTCGATAACTTTCGCATGAATTTTGCGGAACGTGATCGAATGTTAATTAAAAACTTACTTCAGATTTGGAATCGTGTATTTTCTCTGTTCTATTTATCGAAAAAGATATCGATTTCTAAAGATCTACTTATATCGTTAAACGTATATAAAAAATTAATCTATAAGGAATTCTTTCTGCTGGAAAATATTTTATTAGTCAGTTTAATTTTTCGTTTCAGACAAAAAATGATTTTGATCTTCAGAAATATCAGTATATAAAGTATGTCTTGTAATATAATTATCGTTGTACGTAATGCAAGATATGAATGATAACAAACAAATAATGGAAGAAATCGAGACTTTTTTTTTGGTTTCATCTTAATAATATACTCATTCCTTGTAACATTTGACAAATTTTGTGAGAATCAATTGTTAGGTAGTAGACATATTAATTTTATAAATTTATAACTCGTACGGTGTACTTATCTCAAGTATTACTTGAAATCGACGAGTTTAAATTATTATTGAGGTTTAAATTATCAAGTTGATATTACAAAAATTATAACATTAATGGTTGCTTTGTTTTACATATTAAGGTATATATGTGTACATATAGAAAAATCAAGTAACGAATCGTCCGCTTTTACTTATTCTTAATATTAAAGAGCGAGACATTTTAGATTTACTTGAGTATTCTTATATAAATTGAACTTCTATTTAGTTAGAACGTTCTTCGTCCAATAATTGTACAATATTTGTCAATAATGTTCTTATCTACTGTTTTAAATTATTATTGCGTCAAAAATTTTTTTTTCCATCAGGATACTACACGTGTGCATGTGCCGATGTGTATATGTGTATCCATTGTTGTGTGTTTGTATGCATACATGAATGAGAAAATTATTGTATGTGAGCTTATAAAAAAAAAACAAAAGAAAAAAAAAACAAGGTATTTACAAAGAGGGAAATTGTTCTAGTTTTTTGTAGTCTTCCCATTTGCTATGAAAAGTTAATTTTTTGATATTTTTTTGATATTTTAACTATAATAATTGGATCTATTATTCAAATATTCAATTCCAAGTCATATTTGCACGAATTCCATTTGCGATTTAAATTAGTTGTCTTCCTATTACATTGAATATTGCATATGGAATTAATCTGTTTTTAATAGATTTAATAAATTATCTTTAATAAGTGATTTTTATTGAATATAATTGATATGCATATATCTCAATAACTGAATAAATTATTTTGTTTAATACAAATTTTTTTTTAACTTTTCTGTTTTATATAAATTTGCCTTTTTCACTAAGTTTATAAAATTGATTAAGGATTTTATATTATAGAGTATTGATTATGCATTTTAATATATATATTGATATCCAAAGTGCAAGTAAATATACAATTTAATATTTTTCAATTTTTGGATTTATTAAAGTCGCGATTGTATAAAAAGTGAGAAAAAGATTGATAAGTTAAAAAACGTGACATATCGATTAAGTATCTCATTCTCCTTTTCCAGTCACGTTAAAAGTTCCTGCGTTACAGTTAAAATATGCGTTATGAATTGTCCTATATTGATCTTTATAAATTATTAAGAACTGTATAATATTAGATAGAAGATTAACAATTGTCGTTTGGATATAATCATATCATCAATAAAATCATATTATGATATGATTATGATTATGATTATCATTATTAATTATAATTAATAATTGAAATTATAGAATGCAAAAATAAATGTATAGATCTATAATACATTTAATAATATTATTGTGATTTTCTTTTTTTTTTTAATCTGCGATCAATCATATTCGCAAGCGATATAGTTATATATGGTTATATATTTCACAATTTTCATTTTTTATATTTCATAGCATTGACAATAATCCAACCTCGTACAAATGATGAAGAAATAAAAATTATGACAATTTTCACTCTTTGTATATTGTTTTATTTAGATTTATTAATTTTATTACTTTTTCTTATTTTTCTTATTTGATATTGTATAAAAATATTTATAATGTCTGATGTGCAATTTATAAAAGAATTAATCTTAGTAAAATATATAATTACATTCATATTAAAAAATTGTAATTATATGTAATGTAATTATTTCTTCTATTTTAATCACAAAATTAATAAAGTCAATAAATTTTAAAAATAATTTTTTTGATACATTTTTTATAAATATTCTCGTGGATTATACATATAAAGTTAGAAAACTTTAATCAGAAAATTAATTTACACACACACATATATATATATATATATATATATATATATAATATATAAATGTATAAATATATAAATATGCAAAAATAAAAATATATAAATTGTATATATACTTACAAAAAAAATATAAAAAATGGGATCAAATAGATTCTATAAAAATTTTTAATCATCACAAAAAAATCAAATATGATATTCTTATTCATAAAAATTTTGCAGAGTATAAGTATAAACGAAGAAAATAAATTTGAAGTAGGATAAGAATTGATTCCTTATGTCATTTCTTATTAAAACCGTGGTCAAAAATGTTTCTTTAAAATTAAGATAAAAAGTAAGAATTGAAGATCAGTACCATCTGGCGAGTAATTTTAGAAAGATAATTTAAATTGGTCATTAATTCTTATTTAAGATATTTCTATTACTTCAAATAGGTAAGTATTATCCTAATTCTAAATCTTAGTATATCGAACCATATCTTAAAAAAATATAGAATTTTAAATTTTTTTTCTGTTTGAACAAGTTAACCTATTTCTTAAATTCGTCACTAGATGGCATGTTTGTAATTATATGTTCGTCAGTTTCCTTTCATCATCGATTTGTATGCATAAATCCTGCATCTAATTTGAAAGATGGTGAAGTGAAATATTAAAAGTGTTTTCTGATAAAAAAGTGCGTTGATTTAATAAAATAATGTGTTCATGTATCTTTACGGATTTTGTGTATTATTTAATTAATGCAAAAAAGACGATAGAAAGAAAATGAAGAGATTCTATTTGGTGAGTCAATTTCTTTTTTTTAAATTTTTTAGGTTTAAATATCATTTTCTGTACTTTATGAAAATTTTTATTTATTTATTAATTTAATAAGACATTCGTTCCAAGACATTTTTTTAATCATTTATTTGTTATAAATGCAGAAGAAATAATATATTGTAATACATAGAGCAATCTATTAAGTTGGTCATTGCAATAGACATTTTAATATATCGAATTGCGCTTTTATATCGATAAATCCTTTTTTTACTGTTTCTTCTTACATAAAACAGCAACTACTTTCACAATAAAAATGAGTTATTCACTATAAGACTCTTATCACGAATAAATCGTGTAACATCCATAAAATTTCTAAAATCTGTCGTGTTTATGACGGGATCTTACGATTCTTCATAAAAAAACATCTAAATGTTATCGCGCATGAGTGCACGTGTGAGGAGCATCAGAACTCCGCCATATTGTGTACAAGCCTCCTATTGACACTTTTTTTTTTAAGTTTTTTATTTATTTCTGTTAAAATATTTACTTCTTATTTTCGTAATATTACAAACGCAAAAAATATTTACATTCATTAGAGAAGATTATTCGATTAATATTATAAATTATTACATTCTAATATTACAAAAAAGATATAGGATAATTATTTATTTTTATCAAAAGTTATTTCTTATTTAAGAAAGTATATTGAGCTTTAATTTTTTGTTCCACTTTTCTTATTTCTTTTACGTTAAAATATTAATGGTTAATCATTTAAACATAGTAATGATCGTTATTATTTTAATAACATTCACAATAAGAAAAAAATAGTATTTTTATTTTTAACACGTTCTCCATGAATTACTATTTTGCGATATTTATATATGAGCGACAATGATTTTTTCTTTTTGAATATTTGCAGCATCATTATAGATTAAAAATATTTAATGATTAATAATTAAAAATATTATTTGAGGCAAAAAAATAGATTTTTTAATCACAAAAATTAGAAATATATTTTTTTTAGAATTTAATATGATCTAGTAGAGAATGTGTTAAAATGTAAAAAACTATGTTGTTCATGATAATAATAACTATAATGATCATGTTTCTTAAATGGAATGGAAGATATGAAATTATTCGAACAATTAAGAGGCTTGTACCTTTCTATGCCGCTTCTACTATTATCTATCAATAGATTTTCTTCTAGGTTTTAATAATATATAATTTTCTAACAATAATTATGTATTCATTATTCTACGATCGTTCTCTATGGATCATACATAATCAAATCGAGATTCTGGTGTAATAATCTTAATTGTCTGAAATATATTCTAACATTTTTTTGGTCAAAATCACTTATGTTGTACATATTAATTGTTACATTGAGACCCTTTGTACACTTATGGTTGATGATTGAGAATTAAAAAGCCTCTTTCTTTTTTTTCGCATTTTACAGAAAAATCTATAGGCGAATTATTTCTAAAGTGTGCATCGTTTTGAAAAAATTTAAAGAAATGAGAATTGAAAAATGAATTTCTGATAGATTTAAAATTCTTTTCTAAAATTTCAAATTAGATTTTTTAAAATATTTTATTAGGTAGAAATATATATGTATAAAATGACACGAAGGAATTTAATGAAATTATTTGAAAAAATTTTAAATTAATTTTAAATGAATTAAAATTTTTTTAAATATTATATTTTATTATTATTAGTAACAAATACATATGAGATATTTTGAAAAGTTTAAACAAATGATGTTTTGACAAAATCTCAAACTAATTTTTAAGTTTTTATTAATATTTTATTAGTTTCTTTTGGTAAAATTTTATATCTTATTACTTCTAGTAATTCTCTGGTTTAAAAACGTGTTTGTAATTTTATTTTATAATTTTATTGTCTACAAATATTACTTATTATATGTATTTGTAGACAATCTATGTTACACTGTCATTTTGAGAGCATCAAGTATATTATTATATTTTTTAAAAAATAATTATTTTATAGTATATACTTTCATTCATATGTGGATTATATAACATTATATAACAATTGTCCATATATTTTATATATGTTAAGGATTATAGATTGAGTATTGATAGAGG